TATCGTACATTAAGCTGTATGCCGTACATTAAGCTGTATATCGTACATTAAGCGGTATACCGTACATTAAGCTGTATATTGTACATTAAGCGGTATACCGTACATTAAGCTGTATATTGTACATTAAGCGGTATATTGTACATTAAGCTGTATATACCATACATTAAGCTGTATATTATACATTAAGCTGTATACCGTACATTAAGCTGTATATCGTACATTAAGCTGTATGCCGTACATTAAGCTGTATATTGTACATTAAGCGGTATACCGTACATTAAGCTGTATATTGTACATTAAGCTGTATGCCGTACATTAAGCTGTATATTGTACATTAAGCTGTATATCGTACATTAAGCTGTATGCCGTACATTAAGCTGTATATTGTACATTAAGCGGTATACCGTACATTAAGCTGTATATTGTACATTAAGCGGTATACCGTACATTAAGCTGTATATTGTACATTAAGCTGTATATACCATACATTAAGCTGTATATTATACATTAAGCTGTATACCGTACAATAAGCTGTATACCGTACATTATGCTGTATACCGTACATTAAGCTGTATGCCGTACATTAAGCTGTATATTGTACATTAAGCTGTATACTGTACATTAAGCTGTATACCGTACATTAAGCTGTATATTGTACATTAAGCGGTATACCGTACATTAAGCTGTATATTGTACATTAAGCGGTATATTGTACATTAAGCTGTATATTATACATTAAGCTGTATGCCGTACATTAAGCTGTATATCGTACATTAAGCTGTATGCCGTACATTAAGCTGTATATTGTACATTAAGCGGTATATTGTACATTAAGCTGTATATACCATACATTAAGCTGTATATTATACATTAAGCTGTATGCCGTACATTAAGCTGTATATCGTACATTAAGCTGTATGCCGTACATTAAGCTGTATATTGTACATTAAGCGGTATACCGTACATTAAGCTGTATGCCGCATATTGCTGTAAGTATTGTACATTAAGCGTATACCGTATATTAAGCTGTATATTGTACATTGAGCCAAAGTACTATACATTGTTGTATATTATACATTGTTGTATGCTGCATATTAAGCTGCATATTGTACATTAAGCTGTATGCCGTACATTAAGCTGTATATCGTACATTAAGCGGTATACCGTACATTAAGCTGTATATTGTACATTAAGCGGTATACCGTACATTAAGCTGTATATTGTACATTAAGCGGTATATTGTACATTAAGCTGTATATTGTACATTAAGCGGTATACCGTACATTAAGCTGTATATTGTACATTAAGCGGTATATTGTACATTAAGCTGTATATTGTACATTAAGCGGTATATTGTACATTAAGCTGTATATTGTACATTAAGCGGTATACCGTACATTAAGCTGTATATTGTACATTAAGCGGTATATTGTACATTAAGCGGTATATTGTACATTAAGCGGTATATTGTACATTAAGCTGTATATACCATACATTAAGCTGTATATTATACATTAAGCTGTATGCCGTACATTAAGCTGTATATCGTACATTAAGCTGTATGCCGTACATTAAGCTGTATATTGTACATTAAGCTGTATACCGTACATTAAGCTGTATACTGTTCATTAAGCTGTATACCGTACAATAAGCTGTATACCGTACATTAAGCTGTATGCTGTACATTAAGCTGTTCTGGTGACTACAGTGTGCCTGTAACTATGTGTTAGCTGTGACATACTGTTCTATTGTACAAACGCTGTCATCGGATTGTATAACTTTTATACCTCAATAAAAAAACTAATGAGAGAAATCCCAGGGCTTCCCCTGCTAATAACAAACACAGCTTATAATGACATTCTATGAAACTAAACAAACAAAAAAACAGAAAGATAGAAATATAAATGCATGATGTATAGGAAATACTATGAAATACTGCAATAGCTGCATTCTAGTATGTTCAGCTACTGCAAGGCTGAGTGTGAGTGCAGGTCCCTGGGATCTGGGCTGAGTGTGAGTGCAGGTCCCTGGGATCTGGGCTGAGTGTGAGTGCAGGTCCCTGGGATCTGGGCTGAGTGTGAGTGCAGGTCCCTGGGATCTGGGCTGAGTGTGAGTGCAGGTCCCTGGGATCTGGGCTGAGTGTGAGTGCAGGTCACTGGGATCTGGGCTGAGTGTGAGTGCAGGTCCCTGGGCTGAGTGTGAGAGCAGGTCCCTGGGATCTGGGCTGAGTGTGAGGGCAGGCCCCTGGGATCTGGGCTGAGTGTGAGGGCAGGTCACTGGGATCTGGGCTGAGTGTGAGTGCAGGTCCCTGGGATCTGGGCTGAGTGTGAGTGCAGGCCCCTGGGATCTGGGCTGAGTGTGAGTGCAGGCCCCTGGGATCTGGGCTGAGTGTGAGGGCAGGTCCCTGGGATCTGGGCTGAGTGTGAGTGCAGGTCCCTGGGATCTGGGCTGAGTGTGAGTGCAGGTCACTGGGATCTGGGCTGAGTGTGAGTGCAGGTCCCTGGGCTGAGTGTGAGAGCAGGTCCCTGGGATCTGGGCTGAGTGTGAGGGCAGGCCCCTGGGATCTGGGCTGAGTGTGAGGGCAGGTCACTGGGATCTGGGCTGAGTGTGAGTGCAGGTCCCTGGGATCTGGGCTGAGTGTGAGTGCAGGCCCCTGGGATCTGGGCTGAGTGTGAGTGCAGGCCCCTGGGATCTGGGCTGAGTGTGAGGGCAGGTCCCTGGGATCTGGGCTGAGTGTGAGTGCAGGTCCCTGGGATCTGGGCTGAGTGTGAGTGCAGGCCCCTGGGCTGAGTGTGAGTGCAGGTCACTGGGCTGCTCAGCAGTTGCCCACATCCAAGATGGCCGCCAGGGAATAGCTCACCCTATACGTCATCACGTCCCAGGTGACAATGGGCGGAGCAAAGTGGTA